GAGAGAGAGAGAGAGAGAGAGAGAGAGAGAGAGAGAGAGAGAGAGAGAGAGAATGAAAATTAAAGAAATTCTCTTCTGAGAAACAGTGGTCAATTTCCTGCTTACTAAATACTACATTCAATTCTTTGCCTACTCAAATAATTTAGCCAAGAGGAAATTCTAATCAAACTCTATAAATTGAGACGTATAAATAAACTGAAGAAAGTAACATCATCATTTTATTTGATTTCAATTCAGTCATATACAAAGTTAATTTATTACATACAAAATAAATGTACACTCTTAAAAATCATTAGAATATAAATTTCCAAGAGACCAAAAAGGGCAAAATTTTCAAATATTTTTGATCATACTATACAGAAACAAAGCAAATATTAACTCATATATATACACTGAATTTTTAACAATTAATGTAACAAAAACATTTTATATATTTAAGTTTAGAAGGATGATGGAGGAAAGAATGAATTGCACTAAACAATAATTTTGTTATCAGAATACTAATCAAAATTATTTGTATTTTACCCGGGCGTGGTGAAGCAAGCCTTTAATCCCAGCAGGAGGCAGAGGCAGGCGGATGTCTGTGAGTTCGCGGCCTGCCTGATCCACATAGTGAGTTCCAGGACAGCTGAGGCTACAGGGAGACCCTGTCTCAAAAAGACCAAAAAGAAAAAAAAAATTATATTTTATAGTCTAAAACTTGTTCAACTTTTAAATCTTTTTTTTTTCTTTTGCGTACAGATACCAATGAATCAGTTTCTGCAGTCAATAGTTAGATATAAATAAGGCTTAATTTTTTTCATTGTCAATTCCAGTGGAACAAATAAAGGAACATTTTAAGATAAATACACAAATCCTTAAATAGTTAATGAGCAGCACAATTTCTACATACTCTCTGTGTATGTGCAGTCTTATTCTACAGCCCAGACTGGCCTTCAAACTTGAGGCAATCCTCTTGCCTCAGCCTCCAAGTGCTGGATTATAGGAGTGTCACTAATATCTAGCTTCTGAGTACTTAAAAAAAAAAAAGTCATTCTGAATTTTCAGCTAACCCTTCTGAACTATGTGCATATTCATGTATTCAAAACACTGTCACCCTGTTATAACTGAAATGCTTCTAACTATCTGGATCCCAGAAAGACTGGCAAAGAGATAAGCAAATACGCTTGTTATTTTTCTGCCTTAATGGAATTTCTCCATTAAGCAATGAATCTGACAGAAAATAGCTGTCCAGGTATCTGGTTACTTTTTGCTAAGTTTTTTGCCCTAACGCTATCAAAGCAAACAGAAGCCTTATCCTGTAAAAGTTTCTTAACAGAAAGTTACATGGTTCCCCTAACAAGTTTTCTTATGTAAAGCTAACTATAAAATAAGCAGAGCCACATACAAAATGTTTGTAACCATGTTTATGAAATACAGTCTTTGAGAGCAATAAAAGGCAGAGTAGGAAGGAAAAGAAAGGTCCAAATGTAAAAGGTCTTTAAAAATAAAATCCACTGTAACAAGCCATGATTATGGAAGGAGTATAGAAACTATTTTAAGTCAATATGAGCTTATCTAATAAAAGCAATCAAATTTCCAAAGGAAATTTTCTTTAGTCTCAATAAAACTAAAAATCTGAAATTTGAACTATTTCCAATTAAATTTAATTACTGATGTCTCCCTGCCTGAACCATTTATTTATTAGAGGAATTTTAACATTGTGAAGAGCAAAATAATTATGTTTATTCCAGAAAAGGTTTCTGCCTTTCAAAATACAAGAATGACATTCATAAATTTGTAGTTTGGGATCGTTAAATGATAAAACACCTTCCTTAAAATAGTATGGGAAAATGTTATCAAAAGAAAGGCCATTAAAGCATCATTTTAAACTTGACTATTACACTGACTTCTAGAGACTCTTTAAATTTAATACACATTAAGTTGAAATATATTACCTAAGCCAGATTTTAAAAGGTTCAACAGAAATAAGACTTCTTTTTAAAAATAGTTTATATTTGAATAGTAACAACTGTCAGTCTCACCTAAACCCTAACCTTTCTTGGTCTTACACTGCAATGCTACATTTACAATAGCACTACAAGCATCTAAGCCTCTTGTACAAGTAAAAACAGTTACAAATGTAAATAATGAGAAAAGTCATTATAAATGAAAAGACACACACACTTTTCACTGTTAACTTTCAAACATGAATTAAAATTATTTATTTTTGAGATGGGGGTCTTGTTATATTTCCTAGGCTGGCCTCAACCTGTCAAACTGGTGGGGGCTCAAGTAGTCCTTCCATTTCAGTGTTTCAAGTAATTGGGACCATATGCATCCATTTATGCCTGGTTGAGTAACTTTACAAATAATAAAATTGCATTAAGGTAATATTTACAGAATATACATTTCCTGATAACATGAAAATTGTACCATAGAAAAAAATGGTATGAATCTGTGTCCTTCCTCTTTCTCTCTTCCTTCTGAATTTTCAGTTCATAAGATTATAAGCATTAAGAGAAAGATATATACCACTGAATTTGTGTCTTTTTACTTCTCATTAAAACCATCAGCTTCACATGCCCAAATCCTGAAATGTGCTTAGAAACTACCTCCTTACTGATGAGTGTTAGTGAGACATTAGTCTACAAAGATAAGCCTGATAAGTCACTATCATCTGTCAAAAAGCTTACCGAATAATGTGGCCACTTTACAGAAGGTCCTATACTAAATAAAACCATATAACATCTATATTCTATACTTTATCTTAGCCAAAAGGCCTAGAAGCAATATAAATCCTATATTCTAAGATGGTCTTAGGTTTTTTTAAACAAAGAAAATGTAACTATTTGCAATGGAGTCATATATTCATTTACATACATTATATTACATATGTATAGACATATATTTATATATATTTTTAGTGGAGTGATTAAGTCTATTAAATCAGTGAAAGTTCAATCAGTATCCAGCATAGTATATTTATTAAGCCCTATAGAAAAATCTGATCTGCAATCTCAAATTAAGATTTACTCTCTGAGCTGGGGATGTAGAGTTCAGTGGTATAGCACCCATCTACTACGTCTGAGAAGGCTCTACACTCTCTCCCCATCACTGGAGAAAAACCGACCTAATGCCCTCTCAAACCCATTCCCAAGGCCTCACACATTCTAGGCAAATGTACAGTCACTGAGCCACCCCTAGTTCAAGCCTAAATCTCTCAAATGTTAACGCTCTATTACATCTAATAGTCGTGAAAATTTCAAGATTATTTCCATGCAGAGGTGTACCAGCAAAAGTCATCAGAAGTAGTTAAGAGAATTTATCCAATGCTTTTTATGTGGGAAAACATTATGGATTATAAACTTCAATGCTACAAGAGATTTAATTCAATTTTACATTTAGAGTTTGGTACTAATGCTTTTAGTCTTTGATCAAGATGTTACTATCCAGGGCCAGTAGAACATGCCTATAATTGCAGCTACTCCAGAGGGGCTGATGCAAGAGAATTCCAAGCTCAAGGCCTGCCTAGACTACATGGTGAGTTCAAACCAAGCCTACACAACCTAGAACCTGTCTCATAATAAAAAAAAGTTGTTTTTTTTTTTTTTAAAAAAAAAAGAAGGTTGGGGATACAGGTCAGTGACAGAGTGCATACTTAGTATGCATGGGTCCCTAAATTCAATTCCCAATACTGGAAAAAGAAAAAAAAAAAAAGAAAAAAAAAGATGTTAGCTATGTCAAGTGTGTAAAATATTGAGTGAAAGGTATTAAGAACTAATATTAGCAAACAGATACACATTTCTTGAACCAAATATTATAATTATCAATATGAAAGGTCTAAAGAGAATATGTAAGATTAATGATGTTTTCAATAATGAGAAAGAAAATGGTGGTTCTATGCATGCAAAACAAAGAGAAAAAGGAATGCCAAGCAAATTTTAGACAAAATGTCTCTAAGAATAATGCTAACACCTATTTTCAAATAAATCTGTGAATGTCAGGCTTGGTTTCTAAGAATAAACAGCCATAATTCAAATAGTGGCATATATTTTAAGTTATAACATACAATAAGCCTGAGATATTATTTTTATAGCAAGCACATCAAGTAAACAGACTTAGAAAGATCAAAGTAGTACATTATTATTTATTAAACCCCAGGGCCAAACACAACCTGCAATATCAAATTAGGAACCATTGTGTAGAGTGGAGGTGCAGTTCAGAGGTAGAGTGATTGTCTGCTATGTGCAAGGCTCTGGGTTAACTCAAGCTCTGGTGGAGGCTAGGGATAACTAGTGGCTAGAAAATGCTACATTTAAGGTCAGTAAGTAAGGCTACGGCCCATGTTTTAAATAATATTAAGATGATGACTGGTAATACTATATTGTTGCCTAATGCCATTAGGAAAATCACTATAGGAAAATTCTATAGAATAATGTCTAGATAGGATCATCTGAAATAAAATCAAATGCTATGTAAATGAATTAGGAAAAACTACTGAAGATGAGTATTTGTTGACAATGTAGAATGTTTAAGACTGCTCAATTATTGGGAAAGAATAGTTTCTGTTGACAGAAGAACACTTACATCAAGGTATGGCTCTGGATGAAAAATGAAAACATCAGATTTAGCAAATAAAAATAATACATTTCATTTCTTACATACCACTCAAAAACTGTGAAGATAGTTTTAAGAATTATAGAAGACATGTTTAACAGTATTTGAAGATAAAAACACCTTTACACACGTGTATACAGTCTCTACATGCCATATTATATATTTAATATCATATTTATATTTAATACAGTCCAGGTACTTGCATGTTTTCACTGGAAAAAGAGGTAAAGACAATGCTATTCGTCTTATAAATATAAATATAAATATATAAAGGGAACTAATCTCTTAAAATTTAATTAAGTTTTCTTTACTGAATTCTTTAGTAAAAAAAATATAAAATATACTTACAGGCAAATGCCATGTCTCTCTCATCATTAAATAAACATCTGGTGCTCAAGTTAATTTTCTTAGCCTATTTCAAGTGAAATATAAAAATCTGTGGTTAAGAGTCAGTTCTCAAGTCTATAAATTCTAATTCTATGGGCACATTCATTCCTTTGGAAGCATGAAACATTTTCAAAATTAGTTCTTTGAACTGATCTACATACAAGGAAAAAATGTTGCTTAGGTTCTTTGATGATAACAAAATATGTGGCATTTTTCTCCTATAAAAGGGTACTGTGACATAAAGGAAATTAGTAGAAACCGTTCATAGCTGACACCAGCTAACAGGACTTAGTGACAATCTTTATTTTTGTATACTTTCTTTAGTTTTCCTTTTCTTATTTTTCTGAATAATGACACATTCATATACATATATATATTCATACACACACATACACCTTACTACTTCTACTAAACTCACTTTTCAAAACTAAAATAATAATCTATCACCAGGATGCTGTAGTTTTTATATTCATGATTGCCAGTGCCAAGAAATAAAAGCAGATGAAAAGTTCTGCAAAGATAAATGGACTTTATAAAAAGTAGCCATGCTGAGGTTTTATGGTTACCATCTAAAATATCCAGCAATTGTTCCATTCTAAAAACACTTTAAATTTCTTCCATTATATAATATAGAAATAATTTCTATGAATAAGATCTAAATACACTGCAGTCTATAAAAATGTATCTTCCCAGGGCTTTGGTGATTTTTAATTCATGAGCTATACTGTTAAGATGAGGACTATGTTACTCAGCTAATAAAACTTCAACTGTATTTGCTTAACAAATACAAAGTTCATTCTTCAAGAATGTTGCTAGTATTTTCAAAATCCCAAATTTGCAGCTTGTATTTTTTTAGAAAAAAAGGCAATATAAGGAGAAATTCCACTTTCAGTAGCTAGCATTAGTCTGGGTCCGGTATCTATTACTGTGAACAAAACTTGTGTTATAGACTAAATACTGCTCGCTCAGTTTCCCAACTGAAAAGTGAAATAGTCAAATGCCATATATTTAAGGATTTTTCTCAGATTAGCAAAGTTTTTAAAAAACAATTAAGTATCCAAACTAATTTCTAAATCTAGTATTAAGTGATCTCAAAAACAAGGAATACATGGGTAAATTTCCCAAAGAAAAACATACCAAGTCTTACTTTAGAAAATCTCTTCCTCTTCTCTCTCCCTCTACTCCCCTCTCTAGGGTCTAGCACACTGAATGCAAGCAGTCTACCACTGATGATATCTCTAGCCCCAAATCAGTACTTTTTTATATCTCTAGCCCCAAATCAGTACTTTTTTAAATGAAAAACTCAATCATGTTGGTTCTGGCTTGAAATTTTAAAAATGTTAAAGTGATCGGAGCTAGAGAGATGGATCAGAAGTTAGCACTGGTTGCTCTTGTAGAGGACCTGGGTTCAGTTTCCAGCACCCACATGGCAGCTCACAACCATCCATAACTCCAATTCCAGGGGGTCTGACACCCTCTTCTGGCCTCCATGGGCGCTGCATGACACAGGTGCACTTACATACACGCAGGCAAAACACTCATACACATGAAGTATATAAATCAGAAAAAAAAATTTAAGGTGAAGCAGAGATGGTCCTGCTGGTACCATGGTTGAAGCACCTAGTTGGGGGGCGGGGTGCACAAGAGGGGATTAAAAGAAGCTGTGTCAGCCGGGCATGGCAGTGCACGCCTTTAATCGCAGCACTTGGGAGGCAGAGGCAGGCAGATCTCTGTGAGTTTGAGGCCAGCCTGGTCCACATAGTTCAGGACAGCAGAGGCTACAGGGAGACCCCGTCTCAAAAAGACCCCCCCCCAAAAAAAGAAGCTGTGTCTTGTATATCATAATCATCTCTCCTGACTTGTAAGACTTCTCCCAGTCAATTCCTGAAGTCTTCTGAAAAGGAAACCTTTACTATTTACATATGTTCAATTTTTGCACCAGTTGATTTCAGTGTCTTTTTACAGTTATTTCTTCTTGAATCAGATGATTTTAACTGACTATAAAGAAAAGAATTCTGTAACACTAATTCTGACTTATTACAAATCAAACTATTGGAAAGTTTTCCTAAATATAATCTTTCACTACTTAAATTTTTAAAAACTTATTTATAGGATTATAAACAAAAGGCACCAGATTCTGTGGTCAGCAGGTGACATTCTGTGGTCAGCAGGTGACAAAAAATGCAAAGGGGAGATTTCTTCAAGATTCAAACCAAAAGACAATTAGGTATACAGAAATACAGATTAGTAGAGTAAAAAAGAATGTAATTTTGAGAAGCCATTCATGTAAAGTCTTTTTGTTGCTGTTGTTCAATGATAATTTGAAGAAAGCCATGCAATAATTCTTTCCTGAAAATATACTCAACATATAAATTTCTGCACAACTTCAGGGATCCACAAATCTTTCCAAGACCAGAGAATCTCAAATTAATGACACCAGAAATTGTAAAAAGCTTTGTGACATAACTAAAAGATAGTATTACAAAAGAACCTCTTTGAATTTCAAAGTAAATCAATCAAAAATTAAATAGTGTAATATTTAATAACCTGTTATAAAATTAACTGTTACCCTGAAAATTTTACATACCATGCAACAGAAATTTTTTACAGCATTATTTTATCTAAATGACTACTTGAATTACGAATACTATTTCCACCAATCATACAGTTCCCCTATGTTAAAATATAACCTATTTGGGCATTATTGACAACTCAAAATCTTTAGAGTAATACTTAGAGAGAAATACAGTTTTTGCTTAACAAAGAAAAACCCACAAAAATTTTAATTTCACAAATGCTACTTTAAAGGACCCAACTGCAAAAGCCATGATTAGCATTTTTGCTTAAATATACTATTAATATATTTGTAAAATAAATATCTAGTTTTTCTTTTTCCTATTCAACTTTTGCTGCTTAAGGATAATAATGTAACTGAATACATTTTCATTAGTAATATGTTAAACATTAGTCCTAGTGTAATGAACCAATGTACCATTTCAATATTTCTATTTTGATTTAATTGTGCAAACTTGTACCTTTTGAAAATCCAATTGTACAACAGATGCCTTTAAAATATTATCTTTAATCAGGAATTTCATAAGTAAATTGGTATTTTTTTATATAATGGTCAGTAAACAGGAAAATTTTTATCTGGAGAATTTATGAAAAGCACATGTCTCAACTCTCTATTAGCTATACTATTTTATTAGAAACGCCTTAAATTTTGCTATTTATAATAAATGAACTCAACCTAAATTTGTAATATTGGATGTTATTTTTTAAAATCGATTTAATGATTTAGGAATGGGCCACCAAATTAAATCAAATGTATTTTCTAAATTCGATCTTAGTAAAAAAATAAGAATTAGTAAAAGCAGACTCACTGTTAACCAAAACTTTAAAAATGGATTAGATACCCTATATCTTTATTTTTTAACCTTATTCATTTCTTAACTTTTTGAGACAAGGCCTTGCTATACAGCCCAGTCTGGCCTTGAACTTAATATCCACATGCCTCAGCCTCTCAAGTTTTGGAGTTACAGCATGTATCACCAAGTCCAGCTCAACCTATATTATTATAAATAAAATATCAAAATATGGTAATCCCTAAATGATTTTCAGGGATAAAGCCTGGAAGTCTTTCAGAGAGTGGAGAGATGTAGTTAAAGTGACAAAACAACAAATGAAGTTCAGTTCTCCATGTCAGAAGACAGAACTAACAATCACTTGGAATCTTGAGTATTATATTCAGTTTCTCCAGCTGAAATCTGGCTGAGTCGCTTGCTAGATCCCCATAATTTTCGAGAAAGCTGACCCGAACGCATCTGTTTAAAGTAATCCAGAGAAATGAAGAATTGATGTTATGGAGGAAAAAAAAAAGAATACACAAAACCACTTTTTAAATGCAAAATTAGGTTTTGTTAGCAAAATCACTAACATTTTTAATATTTCTTCACTAGTAATATGTATTTAGTGAAATACTAGAGACTGAACCCAAGGCTTCATGCATGCTAGACAAGTTTCTACCACTAAACTACATCCCTATCCACCTTTGTAATCTGAGACAAGGATAACGAATTTGCTCAGGCTGGCCTTGAATTCACTCTGTAGCCCAGGCACCTTTAACTTGTGATTCTTCAATCTTAGCCTCCAAAGTAGATGGGATTATAAGCATGTACCCCCAGATTCAGCTAAAGGCTTCTGATTACCTCTTTTGAGAAACATCCAATGTCACTTTTCAAATTTAAAAATAAAATGTTGCAGTTAAGTCAAAATTCAGATAACTTTAACAAACATAGTAACTCTAAAACTATTCTTAATATAGCCAGTAAGACATACAGGTTTGGGGACTTTCTTTTTTGCTCTATGGAGTACTAATAATGCCAACCATAAGGATAAAAAGAGAATAAAATACTGTCTTGAAAAAAAGAAAATAATATAAAATGATTTTGATCTGGGCATGGTGGAGTATACCTATAAGCCCAGAATTTGGGAGACCGAGACAAACACTGAGTGTTAGAGGCCAGCCTAGGCCACATAGTGAGAGACTCTCTCTCTCTTAAAAAAATAAATAAATAGCCGGGCATGGTGGTGCATGCCTTTAATCTCAGCACTTGGGAGGCAGAGGCAGGCGGATCTTTGTGAGTTCAAGGCCAGCCTGGTCTACATAGTGAGTTTCAGGACAGCTGGGGCTACAGAGAGACACTGTCTCAAAAAGACCAAAAATAAATAAATAAATAAATAGCAAAACAAAACAAAAAGAAAAATGATGTGGGGCTAGAGACTGTTCAGTGGTTAAGAGCATTATTTGCTCTTGCAGAGGACCTGGATTCTGTTCCCAGTACCCAAACAGTGGCTAACAGCCATCTATCACTCCAGTTCCAGGTATCCAATACCCTCTTCTGGGCTCCGTGGTGCACTTACATGCAGACAAAACACTTAAATATATAAAAATAAAGATAAATAAACACTAATGCAAGAATTTTAAAACATACATTTAATAATGAAATGATTAAATTTACTTTAGAAACAAAAACACAAAAGCCTCTGAAGGTAAGACTCACATACTATTCACCAATAAATTTGTGTTGCCTAGCACCATCTGCAGCATTTAACAAACATTAATTAAATCACTGAATGATAAAAATGCTTATATATTTAGGTACCAAAACCCAAAAAATTTGTTGTAATAACTTTCCTCTGTGTAATCTATCTACTTTCCTTCTTTCCTTCCATTTGCCTACCCACCAACCTACCTACTTACAGGCTCTCATAATGAACTACATTAACCTTGAATTCACCATCTTCCTGCCTTAGCTGGGGTGGGCTTATCAAGCCTAGCTACAATCTACTTTTTAATAAAAAGTATTTTTACTTTTAATAAAATAATAATAAAAATAAAAAGTATTATTTTATGTATATGAGTGTTTTGTTTGCATGTATGTATGCCATCTGTGTCCCTGGTGCCTTCAGAGGCCAAAAGGAGTCAGATCCTCTGGAACTAGAGTTATAGATGGTTGTGAGCTGTGACATGGATGCTGGAAACCAAACCAGGGTCCTATGCAAGAGCAGTAAACGGTCTCAACCAGTGAGCTGCCTCTCTGGCTCCTACAATCTACCTTTAATGGTGATTCTTCGTCACTTTTTTTGAATGGTAACTGTTCTAGGGTATGTTTATTGGAGTGACAAGACAAGCATGATACAGAGTTGCCAATGACTTTGGATTCTTGGTTTGTGTTTTTATTTCCAGACTATTTTCAGAAACACTGTTTCTATTAATCTATGACTACCTTATCTCATTAATAAATGCCTTTCACATAGACTAATACACCACTAAACTAATATACATTAACATTTTTATGATTTTACATAAAAATAAATCTTAGAATAGACTATGGACTATTTCATATCCTAAAACTAGACTATGGTCTAGTTCATATCCTAAAGTCACATTTATGGAGTGATTTATATCTTGATTATAAGAGTATAAATGTTTAATTTACTAAAGTATATCCATAATTCAGTTCTATATCCAAAGATGTGAAATAGACAGAAGTAATTTTATTCACAATCTATAAACAATTCAGATTCTATGTATTATAGACTATACAAATTTTTTAAAAAATTTTTTATTTATGAGTGTATTGCCAGCTTGTAGGTAAGTGCACCCATGTGGTGCAGTGCCCATGAAGGCCAGAAGAGGGCATCAGATTCTCTTGTAACTGGTGCTACAGACAGCCACCATGTGGGGTGCTCGAAATCAAACCCCAGCCCTCTGTCAAAGTAGCCAGTGCTCTTAACTGCTGAACAATCTCTCCAGCCCTAACTACATAAATCTTATAATTATCAAATTTATTCAGTAAATATATAAAACATTAGTTTAGGTTTTGGGGTTTTTTGTTTTTTGGTTTTTTTTTTTTTGGCTTTTTAAGACAAGGTCTCTTGTAGCCCCAGCTGGCCTGGAACTCACTGTGTAGACCAGGCTAGACTTGAACTCACAGAGATCCGCCTGCCTCTGCTGAGTGCTGGGATTAAAGGCATGTGCCATTGCACCTGGCTTGAAATAATTTTTTTTTTTTTTTTGACACAGGGTTTTGCTCTGTAGTGGAGCAGACTGGCTCAAACTGTAAATCCTCCTGCCTCAGCTTTGTGAATGCTGGAATTTCAGGTATACACTACCATACCTGACCTCTCCAATTTTACAGGTATACTTTCAAGTATAATACAAAAAACTAATAATTTTATACTTTGATTTTATTTACTGTTGTTTGAAAAATCAAATCTGTATTTCAATTTACTTATCTATAATGGAGCCTTCTGAGCCAACTTAAAAGAAGGAGAACCAAAGGAATTCACAACAGTACAGGAAATGAAATCCATGATGTTAGGTTTTACCTCAGCTGGTTTGCCAACACCCACTATAATCAATTTGCCGTCTTCCAAACCTACAAGAATGTGGCTGTATTCTTTGGTTACAGATACACAGTGGATAGGTAATCTCATGGCTAATGGAGTGATGCTGAGATTCAAACTAGAAGAGATAAAAACCAAACATAAATACATGCATATAGAATGGATCCACACAAGTTTACACCTAGAAGATAACCTAATGATCATCTAGTTCTGCATTCCAATTTTACAGCAGACACCGTTGTCTTCAGCTGTGGTTCATGTTCTCAAACCTTCCCTATGCTCACCCAGAAGGGAAGGACCTTTCTCTATTTCCATTTCAAATCCTATTAATTCTTCAACAAGACTGTTCTGATTATTCAGATCCCAGCAATATATATTTTTTTAAAATGTATACTTGTGCATTGCCTGCATTTATGTAAGTGCACCTGTGTCGTGCAATGCCTGTGGAGGATAGAAAAGGCCATCGGATCCCCTATAACTGGAATTACAGGCAGTTGTTAGCTGCCATGTGGGTGCTGGGAATCGAACCCAAATCTCTGCAAGAACAGCCAGTGTTCTTAACTGCTGAACCATCTCTCCAGACCATCCCCCTCCCCGCCCCAAGCAATCCTTAATGGTTTTTAAACTCTTCTTGCACATACAACAGCTCTTTCTTGGTGATTGTAGTTGGTTGTTTTGAGACAGGGCCTTACTATGAAGCCCAAGCTAGCTCTGATCACACAATCAACTATCTCAGCTTTCTGAGAGTTGATGTGAATGTACTGCCTTGCTTGGAAACTTCTAAAAAGTTTTAAATCCTTCAATGTCAGTTATTACATATCAGCATCACAATACTGAGAATAAAAGCTCTTTTGTTAAATGTTTTTATTTTGTTGATTAGTAAGTGAAACCTGAATGAAAAGGTCCAAAAGCTCAAAACTACATGTTTATGAATTTTTAAAGTTAACAAAATTGGTCTGTTTGCTTTGACTGATATTCCATTAAATACCTGTGTTTATTTTATGATTAGAAAGTGTGTCTTTTTATATCATATATACACATTCTCTCTCCATAGATACATATGTGTACATATATGTATATATCAGTAAAGCTAAAGATCCTATTGATTTTTCTCATTTGAAGTCTTCTAACAGTACCCACAAAATAGGATCTGAAAAAAACTGGAAAGATACAACTGGAATGGGGATTGAGTCCCAACTGCTGGGATCACAAGCATTCTCCAGCATGCTCAGGATACTGTTATCTCTTCTTAATATGTGTGAATGCTGGTGTGAGCACACTTGGTGCATATGTACAGGTCAGAGGACAACCTGAGATGTCGGTCCTTGCCTTTCATCTTTTATGAAACATTTCATCTTTTATGAGACAGAGTCTTTTCTGTTGTTTATCTCCCATGTGTGCCAGACTAGCTGGCCCAGAAGCTTCCAGGGATTCTCTCGTCTCTGCCTTCCATCTCCCCTTAGGAGTGCTGCGATTTCAGATGCTTGCATTATGCATCTGGCTTTTATGTGAATGCTGGGGATTCAAACTCAGGTTCTCATGCTTGTGCAACAAATATTTTTACCCAATGAGCCATCTCCCCATCATCTACTGCAATCTGTTCTTAAGCAAGAGCTCAATAATTTTTATTACTTACCTGTGGAGATCTCTTATAGACAGGAACCCTTGTAAGCTGCCTGTGATAATATGTTCTCCAATTATACATATGTCTGATATTTGTTCATTCAGGACTTGAGAACCCAGATACTTGCCATTTAAAGAAAACATGTGCAATGCGTTCTTATCCTACAAAGAATTAGTGAAGAAACTTTAAGGGTCCTGAATATAAGCTGAGTTTTTAGACTGCCAGTTAAAACAATAACAGAATTATTAAGATTTTGGGGTAAATTATGGCTGCATTTAAATGAAAAGTATAGAAACAATATCAGAGTGAGTTCAAATTATATTGCTAACTAAACAAATAAGAGTTAAACAATCAAGAGTTAAAATATTGTCCTATCCAAAATTATTCTACATGCTTAAAAAAAAGATTCTACTTCAAAAGCTTCATTATTGAAAGGAAATAAATATATAAAACTCAAGGTTTTTTGTTGCTGTTGTTGTTGTTTTTTGTCTTTTTGAGACAGGGTCTCCCTGTAGCCCCAGCTGACCTGGAACTCCCTATGTACACCAGGCTAGCCTCGAACTCACAGAGATCCACCTGCCTCTGCCTCCCAAGTGCTGGGATTAAAGGCATGTGCCACTAAGCCCGGCCCAAAATTCAAGCTTTTTTACACTGTCTTGTGAACAAAAGAATTTAAGTGGCTATCATTGACGCTTAAAACTTTATGATGTCCCACATAATCAAAAATTATTATTGTGTGGGGTTGGGGATTGGACAATTGTCTTCATACATATGAAGCAAACACCCTACCAACTCATACAGCTTTAAAAAATTTTGTTTTAGAAATCATGTATAATATAGGTCAATAAATAAAATATAAATATGAGGCCAAGACTGTGGTAGAAATGTAATGGTGAGGCATAAATAAGTGTGAATGATGAAAAGAAAAGACCCTGTTTAAAACTTCCTTACTCAAACTGTCTCCTGTATAATGTAGGGAGGAAAAGGAATGTTACCGGTAGTCTACACCTAATGTGAAAGTGTTATATACCTTGAGCGTGGTCTTTTCTTCAATGCTAGAGTAGATGACAATATGTCCTTCCCAGGATATAGCCAAATTAGGAATGCTCAGGAACAGAGAACTCTCACAAGGTGGTCGTAAAGTCCTCATGTACTGACCTTTCTGAATAGTATGTATAATAACAGTGCCATCCTACACACAGGAAATGATAGAAAATGAAAAATATTAAGAAAATAACAACCAAAAGGAGAAAGTAATGCAGCCAGATAAAGAATTGTGGGAAAAGGGACTGAACAAATAATTATTTCACCAAGGACATATGTGCCTTAGGAAATATCCTAATCTTAAAATTCCAAGTAATATTTTATTTTGTGGAGTGCCATCTTCCTTAACTTGTAAGGTCAATACAATCTAGTCACTTTTAAATTTATTCTTTTGTACTGCTTTACTTTCACAATTTCAAAATAAATATGGTATAAAATTCTTTTCCCTGCTTTCCTAAAAAAAAACTCTTATCAGAGATAAACATTGCTGCTCAATTAATAGAAAAAATAATTAGTGTTTCTTAAAGGGGAACTCTTACCCTTGATCCTGACACTGCCATGTCAAGCTCAGTGCTGATTCCCACACTCAATATTTCATCAGTGTGCCCATAAAGAATCTGAAAAGGCTTAGATGCTAAGCCCACAGGAGTACCTCCCTAAAATTAAAAAAGAAAAGGTAAAGGGGTTTCTTGCTGTTTGTTTACCCCACTCAATGTCTTTTTTGTAATAATATTTACATTGTATTCAAACCTTCTAATAACAAAGAAATATTACAATTAGTTATAGTCACTAAGTTGACTCATAGTAATACTCAGTCTTAGGTTGGATTCTTGAATTATTATCAGTCTTTTGAAGCTCAAAAACAGAGTGTTATTAATATTGACTGTCTTGGATTATTTTTTCAAGTTATTTGCTCTCTTAGACATTTACCTTAATTCAAATAAATGTATCTCTGAATACTTCCAATTACTACAATCTATACTTCAGGAGCCTCAACTATCATTATTTTGATTTTTCTCAAATTTCTATAGCTATCATTCTTTTTAAAATCATGTGTGTGCACATGTAGTGTCCTGGTCTGTTGCTCTTGGCCTTAGTCCCTTCAGATGCTCCCTGAATCTGGAGCTCTCAGCTTTTCATCTAGACTGGATAGCCAGTGAGTTCACTCAATCATCCTGCTGGGGGTGAGAGTGCACACTATCATGAATGGTGATTTAGCCATAAATTAGGACCCTATACATGCTAGACAGATGCTCTACCACTGAGCTATATCCCCAGCTCTTCTAAATTATTCTTGAAATAGGAGTCCCACTAAGTTACCCACTTAAACTCACTCTGCAGCCCAGGCAGGCCTTGAACTTGTGATCCTCCTGCCTCAGCTTACTTCAGGCTCAGACTGCAGGCCCTGCCTAAAAACACAATTTTGTTGAAGGAAATATCTCTAGAAGAAGATTCTTTCTCTGTCTTTAAGCTGGCTTTCTTATATTTTATATGCTGAGAAATGTTTGAATTGTCTCTCATATTTCTTACAATTATTCTAGACAACTTTCTGATTTTATAATGTACATAGAAATTCCCCCTGTAAATTCTATTCCCTGGGACACATTTTATTTCCCCTATGTATTTTATGTAAAGTTTCTAAATCAGGTAATTTCCATGTTAAGCTTGTTATTCAAGTTACAGAAAACATTAGAGACGTTTTAAATTCATTTAATAAAGGATACATATCCCAATACTAAACATGATAATGCCAGAACAAAAATTGATCTTTCACTTAATAAAGAAAAAAAGTGAGATCTTTTTTCAAGAAAGAAAAAAAAGTAGAGAAAAAAATTAAATACTAGCAAATAAAATAAAACAGTAAAATGGAATATGTTCAAACCTGCAAAACTTCTTAACTGCATTCAGAAAAGGAAAAAGAAAATAACTAAAAATAACTAGAAAACCAGCTACAGAGGACACTACTGGAAATACTATAGACAGGATAATAGCACTGTACAAATGTTGAACATCCTCATTTTGGCAACTGCACTGTGGTTGTACGAATGTCTTTGTTTTTACAAGATGCACATGAATGGGTTCAATGGAAAAGGAAATGATGCATCCAACTTTTAAATAGGCCAGAACAATAAAGATCCTGAAAGGAGACACTAATGATGTTAAGACAAATGCAATAAAATGTCTTATTTTTTCAACTTTCCTGCAAATTTGATATTTCATTAAAATTAAAATTACCAAAAGGAAAAAGGTAGAAGGAAAATAAATAAATATAAAATATAACAATGATGAGGCTGGAGAGATGGCTCAGCAGTTGAGAGCACTGACTGCTCATACAGAAGACCCAGGTTTGATTCCCACCATCCACATGATGGCTGGCAGCTGTCCATGACTCCAGTTCCAGGAGAATTTGATGCCTTCTTCTGACCTCAGTGGGCACTGCATGACATGGGTCACTTGCACGCATGCAGGCAATACACTCATACACACATAAAATAAAAATAATAAATAAAAAATATACTGATGAAAATCTATAGCAAACAACTATGACAACGGCAAAATAGTGAAGCCATTTTCAATCACAATTAGACATAAGGCAGAGGTGCTATCATTTCCTTATCCCACTGCATTAGCTAACAATATAATAGGATAAGGAAATAAAATGATATATTGGAAAACAAGATACATAACCATTATTTTCAGGACTGTATAGCTACTTTATGGTCAGAAAAATCTAAGAAATGTCAGTAACTATGAGTTAAAGAATTTGATGAAGTTAGTGAATATAACCATATGTAAATCAGTCAAGTCACCGTACAACTTTTCTTCACAGCAGTAAAAATCAATTAGAAATGAAAATTATTTTTAAAATATAAAAATAGGAATAAAAATGATAGAAAATATAACAAGGCACAGAACTTAAATGGAAAGAAATTAAGGAAATTTTATCAAAGGACATTAAAAAGACATGAAATAATGAAAAGGTATTTTGTATTTTTGGATAGGAATAATTATAAAAATATCAATCTGCCTAAAACTAATTCGTTAAGCAAATAGTTTATTTTTTAAATATTTTCTTTATTTTTTTTAATTTTTATTTTATGTGTATGCATGTATTCCCTGCATGTAGGTTAAGTGCACCCTTGTCGTGCAATGCCCTTGGAGGACAGAAGAAGCCTTCGGATCCCCTGGAACTGGAGTTACGGACAGTTGTTAGCTGTCATGTGGGTGCTGGGATACGAATCCAGGTCTTCTGCAAGAACAGCCAGTGTTCTTTAACCACTGAGTCATCTCTCCAGCCCCAAATACAGTTTATTTTTATGCTCTACTTTAGAGACAAAATCTTCCTATGTGTCATTTAAGAATTATTTATTTATTTAATTTTATGAGTGTTTTTTTTGTCTGCATGTATGAAAGTGTACCAGTGTTGTACAATGCCCATGGAGGCCAGAAGAGGGTGTCCAATCCCCGGGCACTGGAGTTTTAGTTGTTAACCACCAAGTGGTTGCTGGGAACTGAACTTAGATCTTCTGCAAGGGCAGCTAGTACTCTCAACTGCTGAGCCATTTTTCCAGCCTCTTTTTTTTTTTTTTTTTTTGACAAAAGCTCTTGCTATGTAACCCAGGCCAGCTTTGAAGTCACAACTATAAAGCTCAAACCTTGAGTTTGTGATCATGCTACCTCAGCTTACCTCAGCTTCCAGAGTGCTAGGTTTGGGAACTTGCCATCATGATCAGTTAAGAACAATTTTCAGTAAGGCTACCAAAGAATTTTAAAAGAGGATTTGGTTAAAATATTTAGTGTGTGTGTGTGTGTGTGTGTGTGTGTGTGTGTAAAGGTGTGAGGCTTATGTATGTGTGTGGGTGTACTTCCCTGTGCATGCATGTGTGGAAAATAGAGATTGATGTCAGGATGTCTTCAATTTACTACGTCACCTTATTTTTTGAGACAAGGTTCGTCACTTAACCTGGCTCCCAACCTTCTGGGATCCTCCTGTCTCAGTTCTCTGCCTGAATGCTGGAGTTACTGGCACACCACTGTGCTCTACTTTTATGAGTGCTAGAGATCCGAACTCAGGTCTTCACTGAGTCATCTCCCTAATCCATGCTTAAAATATTTTTGAAGTTTGAGTAGAAAAGTAAATACTCATATAAGAAAATCTGAGAAAAAAATCTGAATAAAGGAAACAGTGAGACAGGAATCTGCCTTACTAAATATTAAGCTACTAAAATGAAACACTGTCGGTTATATAAAATAAAGTGAAAAGAATGGGAGTCTAGAAAAAAATTGTAATTCAGTGAGTAAAAGGATACTTGCTTTCTACTGAAACATAAGTCTTTTTTTTTTTTTGAGACAAGGTCTCCTAGTAGCCCCAGCTGGCCTGGAACTCACTATGTAGACCAGGCTGGCCTTGAACTCACAGAGATCCACCTGCTTCTGCCTCTGCCTCTGTGGATGCGGGGATTAAAGGCATGCTGCCACCATGCCTGGCAAGTCTTATAAAACATGCATTAAAAATGATCAATGTTGGGGCTGGAAAGATGGCTCAGCGGTTAAGAACACTGGATGAAGACCCGGGTTTGAATCTCTGCACCCACAAGGCAACTGTTCCTAACTTCAGTCCCAGGGGATCTGACAGCCTCTTCTGACTTCCAGGTATTGCACAACACGGGTGCACTTACCTACATGCAGGCAGTACATGCATACACATACACATAAAATAAAAACAATAAATAAAATTGTTTCTAAAATATTTTATTTATTATTTTAATTTTCAGTCTTTTTTTTTCTTTCTTTTTTTGGTCTTTTTGAGACAGGGTCTCCCTGTAGCCCCAGCTGTCCTGGAACTCACTATGTCACTATGTAGACCAGGCTGGCCTTGAACTCACAGAGATCCACATGCCTCTGCCTCCCGAGGAGTGCTGGGATTAAAGGCGTGTACCACCACGCCCGGCCTATTATTTTAATTTTATGTGTATGAGTGTATTGCCTGCATGTATATGAATATAAAAAATTTTTTTTGAAGTATCAATGTTGTGGGGCTGGAGAGATGGCTCAGTGGTTTAGAGCACTAACTGCTCTTGCAGAGAGGTCCTGGGTTCGATTCCTAGCACACACATAGCAGCTAATAATTTTCCATAACTCCAGTTCTGGGGGAATCTGATGCCTTCTTCAGACCTCCGTGGGCACTGCACGACAGGGGTGCACTCACCTACATGCAGGCAATACACGCATACACATAAAATAAAAATAATAAAAAAAATTTTAAAAGTATCAATGTTAGCCGGGCGTGGTAGCGAATGCTTTTAATCCCAGCACTCGGGAGGCAGAGGTAGGTGGATCTCTGTGAGTTTCTGTGAGTTCAAGAACAGCCTGGTCTACATAGTGAGTTCCAGGACAGCTGGGGCTACAGGGAGACCCTGTCTCAAAAAGACCGGAAAAAAAAATAAAAAGGTATCAATAATGTGGGATTAGAGAGATGGCTCAGGCTCAGAGGCTTTGAACACTGACTGCTCTTGCAGAGGTCCTGGGCTCGATTCCTAGCACACACATAGCAGCTAACAACTGTCTTTAATTCCAGTTCTAGGGGAATCTGATGCCTTCTTCTTACCTCTGCGGGCACTGCACAACATGGGTGCACTTACACACATGCAGGCAATACACTCATACACAAAAATTAAAAATAATAAAATAAAAAATATTATCAATGTTGGACATCTACACCTAAGGCTCCGAGAACACAGTGGAACAGGAGGCAGAGAGAATATTAATGCATCTCTCAACTCTCACCAGTGAAGTTTCCTCATCCAACAGAAGGTGGTTAACACAGAAAGCCACAACTGCCAAAATGTAGAGAATAAGAAACTGCAGAGTGTGCATCCCTGGATAGGACTACTATAGTAAACCTCTGCCATCCAGCACTCAGGAACTATTGTAGAAGAGGAAGTGGAAAGACTGAATATCAGGGGTGGTACATGACCATAAGGAAATGAGAATTTTCCAGGTAGCTGGGAACTTGCTCTTATGAACTTGCAGCAATAGTAACAGCACATACAATACTCAGGCAAACTCAAACCAGACGAAAATCCAGCACAGAAGTAGGAAAATGGGTAAGAAGTTCGTTCCAATCTTAGCTGAGAACTACTAGTTGGCAACTGATCACTGCTGGGGGTAAAGGAGAGTTGGTCTTCTTTAAGAGAGTGACGACAGATGGGCTGGCCAGGTTCCAGTGGATGGACTCACATTGGGGGACATTTTGGGAAACAAATTTGGCTCAATAGACCTTAACATATATGATAGAATGCATGAAATTCAGTGGGGGAAGGTATGAGGGTTGCAGATAGGGAAGAGGGTCTAAATATGATCAAGACATCTTGTATGAAATACAGAAAATTCCTGTCCATAACTCAAGTTCCAGGGGATCCGATGCCCTCTTCTGACTTCCACAGGCATTACATGACAAAAGTGTACTTACATACATGCAAGCAAAACACTCATACACATAAAATAAAAATAAAATATTTTAAAAATACAGAAAAATTTAATAAAAAAATTTAAATTATCAATGCTGTTACATGAAAAAATAAGAAGTAGAAAAATTGGGGTTGGAGATAGTCTGTTAAACAAGGTTAAAAAACTTAGAAACTCAAAAAAAAGACACTCTGAATCAATCATTATAAGAATGTAATCAAATATATGAAAAAATTCAATCTGTAATTTCTACAGTTCCATTAGAAAGGGACAGTAAGAAAATTATTGTGCTATCATGACAATTAAAAAGGAATAATATTTTATTAGGGGAAGTTAACAAGGAGGAATTTTTGCAAGTAGTAGAGAATAAAGCCATGAATCAGACAACAAACATGGAAAAAGTGGTGTTTTAAGATAGGACAAAACTCTGAAAACAGAATACAAAGATGCTCAAAAGGTCATTCACTGCCAGAGACAAATTCATTACCCTTTTAGAACATGTCAAAGCTTACCAAGGTCCAAGAACATTAAATATGTGATTACCTGATGTGCTATTTGCCATATCATACATGTAGTATCTTTGGAGCCAGAAATCAAATGTATTCCACAGTAATCTGTAGCTAAGCAAGTTACAATATCTGTTTGAAAAGGGAATAAAATGAAATGGGTATGATTTGACAAAACAGAACTTTAAAGGTAATTTTAGTCAATATTCAAATTATTATTAAATCATAGCCAGCAAGATGGATCAGTGTATGAAGGCACCTGCCATCAAGCCTGATGTCTTGCATCCAGTCCCCTCAGTCTCTCCAGACAACTGACTTCTGTAAGTTGTCCTCTAATCACTACATGTGCTGTGGTACAGCCCACACATGTGTAGACAAAATAATTAATTGTAATACAAAATGAAAAACAGTAATTGGGGCTGGAGAGATGGTTCAGTGTTAAGAGGAGCACTGCTGCTCTTCCAGAGTGCCTGAGTTCAATTCCCAGCACCCACATCAGGCAGCCCACAACTACCTGTAACTCCAGCTACAAGGCATCAGACCCTTCTTCTGGCCCCCAAGGGCACCCACACAAATGTGGCATACACACACACACACACACACACATACACACACACACACACACACACACACACTTGACATAAAACAATAATTACTAAACCAGTTATTCTAAAAGAGAGGTGTAGGAATGACACTGGAAAATATCAGGAGAGTAACACAGGAAATTGCTGTACCACAATCATCTAGGAGAGTTTTCTTTGAGACTACCTATTTTGGGGAATAAAATGTAGATGTGTGGTATGTAGAATGGTTATTAGAATCTTGTTATGTCAGAGAGCTTGGAAGGATCCCAGGTAATTTTTATACTTCTCTGCTCTCTCTCACCCCATTCACATTTTCCTCTTATTGAAAACTACAATCTTACTGAATGTGTCCTTAAGAAAAACAATATATATTATGCTGTAAATTCACAAACTAAAAACCAATTTTCTTAAACTGCACCTGTAACAAGCTGTAATAAGTGATATCTTAGGAATCACTGGTACAGAACTAGGAGCAGATTCCACTAACTTTACCTAGGAGGTTTATTAGAAAAAAAAACTACTCAGTGTTTTACTCCTATACTTAAGACTAAAACACTAAGCTGCACCAGGTTAATCTACATTCTACAATTTTATCTTTTATGATGTGCTGTTAAAAATATGGTAATAAGGTAATTGTTGCCTTATTTAATAATTATACATTTTATTATTATTTGGTCATAAAATACTTATGTCTATCATTCAATTTAAAAATAAAACCTGATTTACTATCTTCCAATACATTAAGAAGGTATATTTAATTCATACGGTGCTTGTGTATACGTACTCTCAATACATTAAACATTCTTATCAGGAGTTAAAGAAATAGAAAAACAATTTTTTTTGGAAAGAGTTCATTCTTACCCATATGTCTGATGTTATGTGAGACAATTTTGCCTTTTGTAAGTGACATCACTTGGATACTATTATCCCAGTGTCCCGCACTGAAGAGCAACTTTGCATCATGTGATACTACAAATAACTTAGAAGTGATTTCCAGCCCTGGGGCAAAAGGACCATTCATAGTACGCTGAGTTCTGTAAGCACAATCGAATATTAGACTTTTCCTTAAGAGATTACTTTGTTATCACCTAAAAATATCTCTTTAAAAAGTCCTAAAACTTCTATTTGAAATGTTTATTAATAAATGAAAATTTTTAAATCTTATTTTTCCACATTATTCATAAAATAAAATACGTAATAAATAGTCTCAAAATTAAGCATAAGGAAGCTAAGGTATGTGAAGGTGTAAAAATGGTTTCAACCTTGGCAACTTGATAAAATTGTCCATGATGTAAATAGCAGCCTCAAGGATAAAGACAATAAAGGAAATTAGAAATAAAAACAGAGATCTCCCAAACAAGGTGCTAAACGGAGGTAAATCAGATAAATATGTATTCAACAAAAGTCATGGCAACTGTTCTGCATCCCACAAAACAAGCAGGTGGCATTAACTACTTCCAAGGGAAATATCGTGGTGCTTAAACAAACTAAATTCTTGAGGGAGATATAAGTAATTGCACATCAGTGTTTGCACAGAAAATGGGAGTTAATTCAAAAAGCACAGCATTAGAACCTTATTATTCAATATTAATTTTCTGATAATATGCTTTGTGCCAAAAACAGACCAAGTTTTACATGTGGTAAGTTTGCAAAAGGCCATTATCATCTAATCTTGTGGAATTTTATTCCACTGAAGAATAAAGCAGTAACAAGTAATTTTAGTTTTCAAATAGATACAATATGATTGTTATTTGGCAAGGAAAAAATATAGAAACTATAATAAAAGACAACCTAGAATAAGAGAACCATCACCTTAAGTTATAACTTGTAGAAAATTTTAAAAACTAAGATAATTGGGGCTGAGGAGATGGCTCAGTGGTTAAGAGCACTGACTGCTCTTGCAGAGGACCCAGGTTCGACAGAGGAACCAGGTTCCCACTGCAGGCATTGCATGACACAGGTGCACAATCCCACATTCAGGCAATGTACTCTACAGATAAAATAATAAATAAAATATTTTTAAAAGAATTAAAAAAAAACCTAAAATAAGCACAAAATACTTTTAAAATTTTAATTTATGTGTGTGTGCACATGAGTACAGGTGTCCAGAGTGGCCAGAAGAGGGCACTGAATCCCCTGGAACTGGAGTTAGAAGTAGTTGTGAGCCATCCAACATGGGTACTGGGAACTGAACTAAGGGTACTCTGCAAACTTCTAAATTGTTTGTTTGTTTTTTAAAAAAATATTTTATTTATTATTTTTATTTCATGTGTATGAGTGTATTGCCTGCATGCAAGTGCACCTGTGTCATGCAATGCCTGTGGAGGTCAGAAGAGGCAGTAGGATCCTCTGGAACTGGACTTACAAATGATTGTTAGCCACCGTGTGGGTGCTGGGAATTGAATCCGGGTCTTCTGCAAGAGCAGCTGATGCTCTTAACTGCTCAATCATCTCTCCAGCCTTTCCATTAAATTCTTATTACTTAAAACATACAAGGTTTATTTCTAAATACTAAAGAATGGTATCACAATTTACTATCTCCAAGGGAATTTTTTATTCCATAGCTGCTAAATAAAAATTCAGCTTTGTCTTCTGAAACAAATATTGTCAGGATATAACTTAAAAGCAGACAACAGGTGGGAAAGGGAGAAAAGAGAAAATCTGGGTCTTAAAACATTGCTTTCAAAATGACAGGAACCAACTTAGTTATTTTTCTTGGTAATCAGGTATCTGCCATGGCTATTTTGCCTTAAATGTTCCATTTACTTACTTTAGATTTGTCACAGTTTGATCCTTGATAAATGTGAAGTAGTTAGAAATGTTTCTGTCATAAGGCAGCCATCCATGGGTTCCAATAACATAACTCATGCTTACTGTTATCTGAAAAAGAGTACATGAAAACTCAAATGAAAGATTAAAGAAAGCTGTAAAGAATAACCAGATGCTCACAAATTCTGGCATTGATCATTTGGGGAACAGTGCAGGACATACAAAACTCATTACACCTTAAAATAATTAAAATGGAAAAAGCTGTTTACATCTCACTATAAGAAAAGTTATCTTTCTTTAGTAAATTATTTCGCCTTATCATTTCTCAAAGTTTATTAGCAAGCAGATAGCAGTAAAAGGAAATTGAAAGTCAACTTTTAGCATAAAAATGTGACCATAAACATCATCTAGACCATAAATCAGTACAATTTATGATGACTGTTACAGCTCCCCTGACATGATAGTCACAGTTTGTTTTTCATTTTGACTGGTTTCTTTTTTGGGGGGGGGGATTTGAGATAAAGTCTCCCTGTAGCCACAGCAGGCCTGGAACTTGCTATGGAGACCAGGTTGGCCTCAATCTCAGAGAGATCTGCCTGCCCCTAGGATTAAAGGTGTGCACCATCACGCCTGGTCTGTTTTTTATTTTGAAAATAAAAAGTTTTTTTTCTCCCTTAATGATAAAAGCAACAGGTTATCCATCCCACAATTTAGATAACTTAAAAAAATAGATATTCAAATTGAAAATGACAGACTCCTATCATTGAAAAAATACTATCATTACTATTGTATGTATTTCTAGACTTTTTTCTAATAAAGCAAATATACATAATTATAAAAAGCAATCTAATTCAAGAATCTCTACTGTTCACTGTGCTAGACTACATTTTTATCAAGCCTAAGTTACAAAATTAGGATAAGGCAGACCTAGTTTTGGTCCATGTGCAAGACCCAGATCCTTTATTTGCTAGCTCTATGATTTGGGCTAACCTATTTTTGAGTTTTAATTGCCTATCTTAGAAGGAAAATAACACTCCCTACTTCACAGGGCTGCTAGAGGGATCAAATTTTAAAAAATTCATGTAAAACACTCATTAAAATGCTGCAGATATATGCCTTAATAAAATTTATATTATTTCCCATTATCATTATTATACAAGATATCATCATCTGAGTTTTTTTGGTATACAGTTTCCTGGTTATATTTGTATATTTATTCTTCTAAATACATGCTATAATTACAGTAATTACATAAAAGCAATATATAGAGAAAACATTTTTATATTGCATCAAATTAAATCTGTAAAATTTTTCTCCGTTATTATTATTTATTCCTTTATTTTTGGTAGAACTAGGGCCTCACACATACTAAGCAGGTACTTCATCACTGAGCCATACTCTTAGCCTCTTAACTATTTTTTAAATATTATTTTAAAAAGTTTATTTCTGGGCCAGTGAGAAGGTTCAGTGGGTTAAATGCACTTGCCACGAAGTCTGAGGACCTGAGTTTGATTTCGAGGACCCATATGTTTGAAGGAGAGAACGGACTTGTACAAGTTGTCCTCTAACCTCCATAGGTACATGATGGCCCATCCACAGTGTGTATGTGCACATATACATACTAAATAAAACATAAAGATTTTTTTAAAAAGTTTATTCCCTTTTCTGTAAATTACAGTGAATACAGACATAGCATTATGAAAAGGTATAAATCAACTTACCAGTAACTCAGGGCTGCCTTGAGACATAAAAGAACGAGATTGATTTTTTGGGATGATGGCCTTTAATAGTGGAATACCATCACTAATTCCCTATAAAATAAAAGAGGTTTAGTGGCTGGTTCTGCTCATATTTATTAAGTGCAAATTACTGAAAATTTCTCTTTCGTTAAACAAGCATGATCCCTATGATACAGCATTTTGCTCTATCTAACCATGTAATCATTTACTGTAGCATGCAGGAAAGGAATTCTATACCATGTCTGGATGGAATGCTTGAAACTTCTGAAACCCATTACCTTTATTCCAGAACTTTGCTGTGAAGCAGATGTAGATTTCAAGAGGTACCCATCATTTAAAACAGACAATGATTTATGACCTCTTTTTCCTTTTTTATACTGACACAAATATAAAGTAGAAAATACAGATTATATATGAACATATTCCTCAAATAAATGGGAAATTTGGTAATATTTTATAGAAAAAAAATCTTTTGGGGCTTACATTAAAAAATAGATCCATTTTCTTAACAGAATTTTCTGAGAGTTAAATATTATAATCATAAAATAAAGACAGTTCTCAGGAAACAACTACCATCATCTTACTACAATATGAAAAAGAACAATAATTTGAACTTATTTCTCTGATGTGACAATAGTTCAAACTGATACCCAATATTTACTGTAAATAACATGATTGGATATATATTATGCAGCAAATATTATTCTAAGAGGCTTATAAAAACTAAATTGAATTATATATTGAACTAAAATGAATTATAAAATTCATTATAATTTACAAAATTATAAATGTGTTTTGCTCTTCACATTGTGAATTCATCAAGAATCACTTGCATTTGAGTGAAAGTAGTATCTAAGAATCTATTAAGTCCTTGTTTTCACTGCTGCCTCCATATTCTTCACCATTTAATTTCTAAAAAGAAATGACCTACACAGGACCCTCTCTTCCTATTCATGTATACAGAAACACCTACAATGGTGAAAAGTGACTAGTAAGTCAGTAACCAAGGACATGTATTGTGCTCTTTATCTTGCTAGAGACACTGCTCTTAAGGTAAGTTACCATATGACATGGTACATACAAAAGGGGACAAATGCATCACTGCATTTTCAGATGGAATTCTCAATTTATTACAATATAAAAATAATGTTCAAAATAAGTGATGATGGAAGTAGTTCTATCAGCATCATATGATAAACTCAGTATCGACTTTGTACCAGATTGTGGATCAAACAGGGGTTTTATGGGTCATTTTACACACAATAGCCTGAGAATATCCTGAGAAAGCCTGCCTGCAAGTTTAGTCCTTGATTAGCAAGCAGTTCCTTATGCTCCCATAAAACTTTCCTATGGGGTTGGAGAGATGACTGAGAAGTTCAGAGTACTTTCTGTTCTTGTAGAGGACCAAGATTCTGTTCCAAGCCCTCACATGGAGGTTCAAAACAGTCCATAAATTCAGTTCCAGGGATTCTGATATGCTCTTCTGGCCTCCGTGAGAATCAGGCACAGATGGGGTATACATACATATATGCAGGCAAAACACTCATAAAAATAAATAACACCTTTAAAAAATGGTGATTCTATCAAATGGTGATTCTTCTGGCCTCTGCAAGCACCAGTCACATACGACACGGGTATACATACATATATGCAGGCAAAACACTCATAAAAATAAATAACACCTTTAAAAAATGTGAATCTATCAAATGGTGATTCATTATACTTCTGTCTGTGAAAATGAGATGATTTATGCTGAACCCCTACATTTCTTCTTAAGTTTGGAATTTTGGTATCTGATACACAGAGGGATATATATGTGACCAGCCTCCAATTACATCCTTGAACACTGTGTTGCTAATGAATTTTCCTGGTGAACAAAAAGTTGTTTTCACATTTCATTATTAGGAGAATTAAAAGTGAACTATGCAACTCCATAATAAGGGAATCAAGGAACATTTGTATCTGGCTCCTCTGGACTCCTCCCTATGTGCCTTTTCCCCTTTGTTGATACTGCTTTCTAATGTTCCACTGTAATGAATCTTACTCCTGAGTATAAATGTTAAATTCTGTGAGGTTTTCTTGCAAATCACTGAATATGTTGATTGTCTTGGAGACCCCTAACATATCCTGGGAATATTGAGTATTCGTCCCTTATTGCCCTCACCTTATTCCTTTAAGACAGTGTTTTTCAGTGAACGGGAAGCTCACAGTTTCAGTGAGGCTAGCTGGCAAGTGAACTCCTGGGATCCACCTGTCTATTGTCCACAACACTGGAGTTACAGGCACATGCAGCCATGCATACCTGGCTACCTGGGAATTTGAACTCAGGTCCTTATGCTTCCACAGCAGCATTCTTATCCACTGAGTGATTTTGCCAGGCCTTAACTGTCATTTCTTTGTACTATTTCTATAAATATTGTGAATTATAGGTTTGAGTATGTCTGGAAAATGACCAACATTATATAGTTTGTATTATTAAACAATTAATAAATTCAGTCAATATGAATCTAGAAAAAGAGATTAATTTCTGCTCTCACGAATAAATGAAAATATATCTGGATTAAAATATAGTGACACCTCAACATTGTTTATTGGAGTCAAACTCCTTGTAAATAAAGCTATAACTGTTTTGACAATCATAAAAATTATCATGGGGGGGGCTGGAGAGATGGCTCAATGGTTAAGGGTTAAGAGCACTGGCTGCTTTTGCATAATACCCAGGTAAGTGTCTCAGCATCCAAACGGCAGCTAACAACTGTCCATAACTCTAGTTCCAGAAGAATACAATGACTTCTCACCACTGTGGGCATTGCACAACACGGATGCACTTACACATGTGTAGGCAGTACACTCATACACATAAAATAATAAATAAAATACTTTAAGACAGGGTCTCTTTGGTAGCCCCAGTTTGCCTGGAGCTCACTATGTCTACTAGGCTAGTCTCTATCTCACAGAGGTCTGCCTATCTCAGCCTTCCTAGTGCTGGGATTAAAGGTGTGTACCATCAGGCCCAGATTAAACATTTGAATTGTTAAATTTAAGTTTGAAGATCCTTTTTCAGTCACAGCATTAACTAATATTTCACTTAACTATTCCTTTTAATACTATCAACAATTTGATAGGTCATATTTAATAGCTGAACAGACATTATAATTGAGAACAATTAAAATATCACCATTCTACATAGTATTGCAATTGTCACGAGATATTCTGTATTAAGTAATTTGCTCCTTCTTATCAGGAAGACATGAAGTAGAAGAGAACAAGGTAAGAGAACAGTTCAGACTACTCAGCTGCAAAAAAAAGCTTTCAATAAAAGTGATTTTATAATCCAAGACAGGAGCTGGGTATGGTGGCACAAAGAAGGCTCAGTGGTTAAAAGCGCAGCCAAATCACATGGCTGGAGAGGTCATAGATCCTAGAGAAAAACCTATCTCTGTCTTATCTCTAGACAAATGAAATTTCTTACCATATATACTAAATATGGATGCTTATATATACAGATAAGTATATCATACACCACTCATAAAAGAAGCTTCTGTTTGTAACTGATAGAGGCTACTGCAGAGTTCCACAACTGGCCACACATAGAGACAGAGAATATATGTCTGAGAGATGCCCAGTCCTAGGTGACATATCTACAGTGGAACCTCTACACCTAAGGCTCATAGAACATTTATTCACATGAATGTGTGTGTGTGTGTGTGTGTGTGTGTGTGTGTGTGTGTGTGTGTATGTAAAGCTTCCTTATACAACTGAGTGCAATGCACACAGAAGGCCACAAGTGGTCAAATTTTAGAGAGTAAGAGACTGCAGAGTGTGTGTACCTGAATAGGATTCCTATTCCTATATTAAATCTCACCCATCCATGACTCAGGGACCACTTTGGAAGAGGAGGAAGAAAGACTTTAAGAGCCAGGGTTGGTTTATGAACACAGGGAAACAGAGGCTTTCAGGCCATTGGAAGCTTGTACATGTGACTTGTAGCAATGGTGGCACTGAGCATAGGACCCATGCCAACTCAATCAGACAAGGACCCAGAATGGAACGAGGGAAATGGGTGGCAGGCCGACCCTCATTTGGGAACTGATGGAAGACTGATAACTGCTGGGTGAGGGAGAGTAGACCTCACTTACAATCTCTAGATGGGATGACTAGACTCCAGTGGATGAATTTGCACTGAAGGACAACTGGGTACAGATGCTTGACTGGATAGGACTTAGCAAGTATGGTGAAATGGATGAGGTTCGATGGGGGGAGGTGGGGGGGCATGGATGGGGGAGGGGCTCTAAATTTGATTAAGAACTATTGTATGAAATGTACAAAATCGCAACTGAAAATTTTCTAAAAAGCACTTGCTGCTCTTGCAGAGGACCCAAGTTTAGGTGTCTCACAACCACCTGTAACTATAGTTCCAGGGGATCAGACACCCTCTTCTGGCCTCAACTGGCACTCAGATGAACATAAACTTATGCAGGCACACATACATTCACATAAATGAAAAATATATAAATCTTTTAAAATATCCAAGACAAGAGCTGGAGAGATGCCTCAGGGGTTAAGAACACTGGCTGTTCTTACAGAAGACCTGGGTTTGAATCCCAGCACCCACCCGGCAGCTAACAACTGTCCATAACTGCAGTACCAGAGGATCCAACAGCCTCTTCGTCCTCTGTGGGAATTTCATGACACAGGTTGCACTTACCTACATGCAGGCAATACACACATCCACATAAAATAAAAATAGTATTTAAAAAAATCCAAGACAGATTATACTTTTACTCTTTTAAACTAAATAGCACAATATTTCTCCTCCATTAAAAATTGAATAAATCATACTGAAGAGCTGGCATCATCAGTAAAGCACATAACTTGAATGTGGATCCCCAGCATCCACAGCTGATTTGGGTAACGCGCACCTGTAACCACAGCACTGATGCTGGGAAGGCACGTGGCAAGATGGGTAAATGTCTAGGGATCATCGGTCAGTCAGCTTAGCCAAAACAGCAAGTTTTAGGTTCAGTGAAAAAAAAAATAAGGTGGAAAATGATAAAGGAAGATGCACGAGGTTGATCTCTGGCCTCTACACTCCCACACACATGTGTATGTGCACATAATACATACATATACACACACAAAATAAAATAAAATAAAATAAAGTACATAGAATTGGAGAAAACACTTTGATATTACAAATTGTAAATTACCTCTATAAAGAATGACTTCAGTTCAGGGAGGTGTTGAAAGAGGTTTAGGGTAGAAGTGTCTGTTTTGGTCTGCTTCTGTACAGCTGCTTCTGCTGATAATCTAGGAGGGTGTGGTTCCTTCAAAATAATTTTAAAATTTCAGTTACATGAAAACATCTCTATGTTCCTTAAGACACACTCTGTGCTACAAGAGAATGCATATTATACACTGTTAACAACTCCAGGCCATGGCTTAGCCTAGTCCCAACAGAAAATTTACCATCCTCATCTATGTGTGCTGATTAGTTTTTTGTCAACTTGACACAAACTAGCATCACTTGGGAAGAGGGAACCTCATTTGAGAAACTTCCTGGCCTGAGGGCATGTCTGTGGGACATCTGTTTTATTCATGATTGCTGTAGGCGTGCCTAGTCCATTGTTGGCAGTGTCAACCCTGGACAGGTGGGCCTGTGCAACATAAAAAAGTTAACTGAACAAGCTATGCGGAGCAAATCAGTAAGCAGCATTCTTTCAGGGTCTGTGCTTCAGTTCCTGCCTCCAGCTCTTGCTCTGGCATCCCTCAAAAACGGACTGTAAACTGTAAGCCAAATAAACCCTTTCCTCCTAAAGTTGGTTTCAGTCAGTGTTTTATTACAGCAACTGAAAAGTAACTAGAGTACTATGAAAATCCTACTTCTAATTCACAGCTTTTCCTTACTAATATCTCTCAAATTTTCAAGTCACAATTAATTTTTACCATGCTCCTTCATAATTTAGGATTCGTTTGTTATTTTAGTATTCATTAGTTGTTTATGACCAGTGTTTCACATTTAGGCTATAGGAATATTTTTATATAGTTTTTTTTTTTTTTGGTCTTTTTGAGTCAGGGTCTCCCTGTAGCCCTAGTGGCCTCAAACTCACAGAGATCCACATGCCTCTGCCTCCCAAGTGCTGGGATTAAAGGTGTGCGCCACCATGCCTGGCCTATATAACTCTTTTAAGTTTTTAAAATTTATTTTTATGTGTATGAGTGTTTTGCCTACATGTATATAAGTGCACCCATGCGAGAAAAGTTCTCCAAGGCCAGAAGAGGGCATTGGATTCCCTGGGGCTGGAGCTACTGAGGATTGTTAGCCACTATGTGGATGCTGGGAACTGAACATCAGTCCTCGGCAAGTGCTCTTAATGGTTGAGCCATCTCTATACCTCTGGAATCTTTTTTAGGAAAAAAAAATTATTACATTTTATTTATTTATTTTGTGTGTACATATGGGTTATGGCACATTATTTCTCAACTTTCATGTCAGAGACACGGAATTAAGAATATTAATATGGTTAATTAAATATATTGATAACATATTAAGTATATTAATAATAATCCAAAGGCACAATTAATATACAGAAGTCTTTTTAAAGGGTCTTGACAGGTATAGCAGCATACACCTATAATCCTAGTTCTTATGAGACTGAGGCAGGAAGAATTTGAGTTTGAAGCCAGTCTGAGCTATACTGAAAGTTCCAGGACAGTGTGCTTTACAAAACAAGACTTTGCCTCAAACAAAAGCAAAAACAAACAAAAGGTGGATAGTCTTTTATTCTTATCACAAAATATTAGATTATAGGCAACAGATGAAACACCCAAAGTACTTAAATGTGTGGCTCCCATTAAGTTTTTTGTTGTTGTTGTTTGTTTTTTTTCCCCTTGTGACAGAGTCTCCTTGCAGCCCCAGGAGCCCAGAACTCACTGGGTAGACCAGACTGGCCTCAAACTCAGAGATAACCCTGCCTTTGCCACCTAGGTGCTGGGATCAAAGGTGTGCATCACCATGCTCAGCTATCTCTATACTTTTTTTAAATTACAACAAAAAGTAGTATTTGAGTTGGGGCACTGGAGTTGATGCTTGTCTAGTGGCAACCACAAGTACTTGAACTGACTCCTAGAACCCACGTTTATAAACAGGCCAGGTATAGTGGTGCATGCCTGTAATCTCAGAGCTGGGGAGGTAGAGATAAATCCCTAGCACTTGCTGGTTTGCCTGAGTCAGCCTATCCTACTTGACAAGTTCCAGGTCAGTAAAAGATCTTGTCCCTCAAAAAGGCAGAGAATGCCAGAGAAATTTATCATTGTCCTCTGGCCTCCACAAACTCAAGGACACATGTTCAGGAACACCACCCACCACTCCAAATAAATTAGCACTATTCTTATAAAATTTAAAAAGTAAAGCTGATAAAAAACTAAAGGTTGTATTTCAGAACCTACAAAGAACCCCCTCTGTTTTATCATGCTGTCTGAACCTAGAGCAAGAAATCTATCTTCCATGAAGCTGCATCTCCAGTCCTTTTGAAAATTTTCACTTTGAAACAGGGTCTCACTAAGTTGCCTAGACTACTCTTGAACTCACTCCATAGCTCAGGCAGGTCTTGAACTTGCAATCCTCTGCTTTAACTTCCTAAGTGGAGAGAATTACAAGTTTGCACCATCAGGGTTGGCTTTTTTTTTTTTTTTCCCCTTCTTTTTTCAGTGTATGAGAGATGACCTTACTATATAGCCCAGACTAGGTTCAAACTCTCCATATAGCCTAAAGTGACTCTGAACTCAAGATTCTCCTGCTGAATCCTCCTGAGTGCAGAAATTTCAGTTGTGTACTACTACTGTCTGACTTACTGGAAGGAAAGGAATTTAAAAAATTTCACATATGATGCCATGCAAAAATCAACTTGGAAGTTCCAAGTAAATTATAGCAAAGAAATAGCAGAAATTATAAAACTTAGTTTAAAAGTTAAACTGACAAAAGTACTGCTATAAAATCAAGCTTAGAAATATGTACTATTGCTGTAAAAATGATTAAGGTTGCTACCTTTAACATATAATTGAAGCAAAAGAATAAACATATATTAAGGCAAAAAGTATAATAATTAAGCTTTAAATAAAGGCTCAGAAGAACATACAAAAAGAGATGCAGTTTATTATTTTATTTTTTAAAAAATATTTTACTTATTATTTTTATTTTATGTGTATGAGTGTATTGCCTGCATGAAGGTAAGTGCATCCATGTCGTGCAATGCCCGCAGAGGAATGAAGAGGCTGTGGGATCCCCTGGAATTGGAGTTATGGATAGTTGTTAGCTGCCATGTGGGTACTGGGATTCGAACCCAGGTCTTCTGGAAGAACAAACAGTGTTCTTAACCACTGAGCCATGTCTCCAGCCCCCAGTTGATTATTTTAAAAATAATTTTTCCCCTACAACTGAAGTTACAGATGGTTGTTTTCCACCATGTGGGTGCTGGGAATTGAACCCAGGTTCTCTGCAAGAGAAGTCAGTGATCTTAACCACTGAACTTTCTCTCAAGCCCCAAGAGATACAGTTTAAGTGCAGGACTTTCAACAACTAATTCAGAGGAAACAGGTTGGTAGAAAGATTTTAAAGTTAGTCATGCATATGAAACATAACCCAATCATTTTCCAGTTTTGTAAATGTATAAAAAGTAATTTTGCTAAGGCATCATATGCTAGGGATTTCGTGATCTTAACCACTGAACTTTCTCTCAAGCCCCAAGAGATACAGTTTAAGTGCAGGACTTTCAACAACTAATTCAGAGGAAACAGGTTGGTAGAAAGATTTTAAAGTTAGTCATGCATATGAAACATAACCCAATCATTTTCCAGTTTTGTAAATGTATAAAAAGTAATTTTGCTAAGGCATCATATGCTAGGGATTTCTGTAAGGCTTGGTTTTGTCGTCTAATATTTATTTATTATTTATTTATTTATTTATTTATTTATTTATTTACCTATTTATTTATTTAGGGATAGAGTTTCACTATACAGCCCTGGGTGGCCTGAAATTCACTAGGTAGATCAGGCTGACCTTGATCTCACAGAGATCCACCCTGCCTCTAGGTGTGCACCACCCCACCAGCTTTACTTATTTTTAAATTATTTATTTATTATGTGCATGATGTGTGAAGAGCATGCACATGCCACTGCACACTTGTGGAAATCAGGATAACTCTGTCAAGTCAGTTTTTTCCTTCAGCCTTTCTGTGGGTCCAGGGAATTGAACTCGGGTCACCAAGCTCACATGGTAAACACCTTTACCTGCTGAGCCATCTCACCAGCCCTGTTATCAATTTTTGTATTTTATTTATTATTGTGTCTGTATGTATTACATATAAGAGCATGAGTATGCATGTGCTATGGTGCACAAGGGAAGGTCAGAGAACAACTGTGTGGAGTCACCTTCCACTGTAGGTTATAGGAACTGAACTCAGGTTGTAAAGTTTGCATAGCAAGCTCTTTTATCCACTGAGTCATCTCATTACCCCTAATATTTTATCATCTATCTATCTATCTATCTATCTATCTATCTATCTATCTATCTATCTATCTATCTATCTATCTATGTCCTGTATATGTGTGAGAGGATGGAGGTCAGAGGGCACTTTGGGGGATTCAGTTATCTTCTTCCACCTTCTTCTGAGGTAGGCACTCTATTGTTTCTGCTGTTGTTCTGTGTACTCGAGGCTAGCTGGCCATCCTACATCTAATCAATTCTCCTGCCTCACCTCTCATCTCCCCACAGGATTGCTGGGATTTCAAAACTTATTCTCCACATCAGGTTGTGTTTCTGTGTGTGTGTATGTGTGTGTGTGTGTGTGTGTGTGTGTGTGTGTTTTGTAGATGGAACGCAGGATTATCAGGCTTGTTTGGCAAATGCTCTTTTACTGCTGAGGTATTTCCCTGGATATGGCTTTATCATTTCAAAAAAATGAAGATAACTGGATCTTTACTGTAAAAGTTAGGGAAAAATTTCACAGAGTGATTAAATAAGAAATTAAGTACTTAATAAATGGGATATTATTATTTATTTCTTATACTTAAATTCATGTTAATAAAGATAAAGACCGCTTCTAAAATATTAGACTGACTTTCAAGAACCTGTGGCAATTAAGTAGGTAACAATTTAACTTCAAATATCAGTATGAGAAAAGATACATACAATATTTAATAACTTGATTCTATACTGCACATATTTTATAGTTAAATTCTTAGAACTGGGATTAGACTCTGGATAGTGTCTTTCTTGGATGATTTCAGCAACTAAAAGTTTTATACACAGGAGTTTTAACATAAGGATAGTAATAACAACACACTGTATTTTATTTGCTATTCATTTTTTTTCCCTTGAGACAAGGACTCCCTGTAGCCCCAGCTGGCCTGGAACTCACTCTGTAGATCAGGCTGGCCTCAATCTCACAGAGGTCTGCCTGCCTCTACCTCCTAGGTGCTGGAGTTAAAGGTGTATGCCACCACACCTGGTTCTGCTATTCAGTTCTTATTCTTTCAGAAATATAAAGCTGGGGCAATAGTTCAGTAAGTAAACTGTTTTCTGTACAAGCATGAAGACATGAATTTAATCCCCAGCACCCATGTAAAAAGTTGAGCAGACTGGTGTGCCTCTATAATCCCAATGACAAGAAGCTGGGGTGAGAAGGATTCATGGGGATCTCTGGTGAGTCAGCCTAGACCAATGGGTAAACCCAAGGAGGGAGAGGAAGGGAGGGAGGGAGGGAGGGAGGGACCCTGTCTTAAAAAACAAGGCAGACAGCAGCTGAGAATGACACCTGATATTGACTTCTGTCCCCCACAATTACACATGTGCACCCACACACGTGTATATGTACTTAGAGAAATAAAAAATGATTGACTTTCTGAGTAAATATAAATCCTTCAGTGATTTGTGAGTAATTGGCTGTATAAGTGGGATCACCCTCTCTCCCCTTGCTGGGAATCATAGAGAGAGCACCGAACACGCTTAGCAAAAAGTTTTACATTAGTGAATTTTATTTTTTTAAGATGTCATCCTTGGGGCTGGAGAGATGGTTCAGAAGTTAAGGCCAGAGGCTGCTCCTTGCAGAGGCCCCAGGTTCGATTCCCAGCACCCACATGGCAGCTAACAACCGTCTATAACTCCAGTTCCAGGGGATCCAATTCCCTCTTCTGACCTCCCATGGCACTGCACAACACTGGTGCACTTACACACATGCAGGCAATACGTTCATACACAGCTGGTCCTCTTAACCACTGAGTCATCTCTCCAGCTCCTAAACTTGTTTTTTTTTTTTAAAAATTTTCTTTATCATTTTTATTTTATGTGGATGAATATAATGCCTGCATATATGCAAGTGCACCCGTGTCATGTAATGCCTGCAAAGGCCAGAGGAGGGCATCAGATCCCCTGAAACTGGAGTTAAAGACGGTTATTAGCCATCATGTAGGTGCTGCGAATTGAATCCATGGGTCCTCTGCAAGAGAAGCCAGTGCTTTTAACCGCTGAGCCAACTCTCCAGCCCTAATTCTAAACTTAAGTTGTCAATAACATATAATTTACCTTTAACAGCTGACAAGGTGTTTGTCCAAAATTATTAATCATCCCTTCTAAGGCTTTTCTTTCCTTTTCATCTGTTAAGGCATCAAGATCCACAGCACCTAAAACAAGAAGTAACCAAATCACTATAAAGTAAAAACAAACCAGTATACTTCGTTACTGATTTATACAAAGGACAGATTAATATATTTAAACAAAACATTTTAGTCTTCAATTTATAACACCACAAATTAGTTTCCTAAAAACCACTAAATCTTCAAACATTAAATATTTTACTTTTTATTTGTCTACATGTATGTGTTTTTGTATGTACATATGTGTATGGGTACAGGTGAGAGATCCTGTCTCAAAAAATAAGGTGGAGGAGCGCTGGAGAGATGGCTTAGTGGTTAAGAGCGCTGGTTACTCTTGCAGGGGACCTAGGTTCAGTTGCCAGCAACCATGCAGCAGCTAAAACCTGTCCATAATTCTTGTTCCAGGGGATCTGATGTCCTCTTATGGCCTCCAATGGCACTGCATGACAAAGGTACACTTACAAAAATGCAGGTGAAACATGAAACAAAAAAACAAGTAAGGCAAAAAAAACGACTGAGGAAGACACACCTAATATCAACACACCTGTAGATACACAAACAGGTACTCACAAATATCACATACATACATAGACACACATGCATACCAAATTGAAAAGAGGGAATACATTTCAGCCAAAAGCCATCAGAAAAGTCTCAATACTGAGTGTTATTAGAAGAACTTATTATTGGTAATTCAAAATGCCTTCTTTCAAAGTATGCCAACAATCTAATTTGTAATATTCAATGTAAGACTTAATTAAATAGGACACATATACTGGATATCAAATCTTCTGACACCAATAATTGGCATTTATAATTAGATTTGCATATAAATATACCATTATAAGCAAAAAAGAAAAAGAAGCACTTTATTGATCTTCTAAGTGGAAAGTTATTTTGTTAATGTAATCTTTCCTAGATTAAATACTTAGACTCAAATACTAAGTATTATTGGATAAACACTAAATTCTATTTAAGTATTATAAGAGAAAAATAATATAGATTTATACCTTCATAACTACAGTAATAGAAGACATTGAGTGCCTCCACTGCAGCTGGCCCTCTCTGTTTGTAACCAAAAATTAGATCTATCCATTCATGAAGATGAGCAGAAACATATTCAGACTCCTAGAAAAAGAGCAATTTAATAATTAATGAATGACCTTCCAACTATAATTTAAGCACCCTCCAACAACAATACAAATTTATGTTTTTTTTAAAAGAGTAAGAGCAAATGAAAGATTTCTGTAGACAAATCTTTCTGATTTTATGTAATTCTCTCAAAATCATACCAAACATTTAGTATTTACTATACATATTTACTATTCATATATATTAAAATATAGATTGTGATATTTACTAATCCTTACATATGTATTTCCTCACTTCTGGATAAAGAAAACAACACAAATAAGCTAATAACAATCCCAAAATCTACAATGTATCTTTGTGGTACAATTTCTGTTGAATTGAAAAGTTTTAGACAACTATTACAAGAAATAAAATCAAGTAAACAATGAAAGTACACTGGGTAGGGGAACAAAAAATGGAAGAAGCAGGTTTGGTGGGGTTTGAAGAAAACCATTTTTCATTCCCAGAATCTCTCCAGAGCCAAGACTCTCAAAACGAGAAATGACCTAAGACAATGATCAAATCAGAACAGCAACATTAAAAAGAAGCTTCAGGCAAAAGTTTTCAAAGGTTTGGTTAATAAAGAATTTGTTAAGGATGTTCATGTTGGGCTTTTTAGGCACATACAAAAGAGAGAAAGAATCTTAAAGGCATTTTTCTTTAGTGCCTCCTATTTGGCCTAAAGTAGAAAAGAAACCATTTTGTAAAGAAATGTGGATTGGCTTTTTTTCAACACTGTTGGGAAATTCAACATTTTAAAAGGAACTATATTAATTCAGACTAAAAGATAAAAATTTTCCAATAGCCAGGTGTGGTGGCGAACACCTTTAATACCAGCACTTGGAAGGCAGAGGCAGGCAGGTCTTCGTGAGTTCAAGGCCAGCTTGGTCTACATAGTAACACATTCCGGAGCAAGGATACATCTTTTTCAAAGATGGCTGTAATTTTTTTTAAATTATTTATTTCATAACCATATGATTAGAAGAGGCATTTCATTACAACAGCATTGATATATTCAATAACAATTTTGAGATCTAAGATGCATCTCTTTCAAAATTTGCTGTAAATTTTTAAGTATATAGTTGAATTAATACAGTTAAACAATATTGTATGCTGTCTAAACCCTATAGGACATAAAATTAAATGAGGTTTTAAATTTTAAAAAGATCTCCATTTCATTATTAAAATAGTTTCATATAGAAAAATTCATTTTTAATACAATTGACACTAAGATGTACATGCGTTTCTAATCTCTATATATCTGATTATTACTAGTCACAGTTGGTTACTTTCTGAGCTCCTTGGCATCTGAGGATGGATATAGTCATCATGTAGATTTCAATGGTATTGTTTTTCACATATACTAATTATTAAGGACCAAAATTTTATGCTTTGAAGAATTTTTTTTCTTTTTTCTTTTTTTATTTATACACCCACTTCCCAGGTAGCACCCTCCCATAGTCTCCCTCCCCCGACTAGAGCCCTTATACTCTGATATCCCTGCTACTATCTTCTGTGTTATCGGCACCCCCAGCCATTCCCCACAAATTGCCCTTCTGGTGAATCTAGTCAGCTTGTCTAGAGGTCTTTGTTTTAGGAATGTCAGCTGTTCCTCATCTAGCAGCAATCAATTGTCAATATTCCTTTGGATAAGATTGGGGTCTGCTGTTCATTTTCCCAGTTCGGTGCTGGGTTACTATCTGGGGATCCCTTTGACCACCCTGCCCAACAACTCAAAAGAAGGTTTCACCTGTCTGGCATTGTTGCTTGTTATGTACCCTTTAGCTATACACATGGACTCTTATGAAATTATATTGGCCCCTTTAATCTTTGGTTATACTTTCCTTTTGGGTGTTTAAGGACATACAGTTGGTCCAGATAAACCGATTTATTTTTACTCTTAAGGTCATTTGAGAATCTGCTCCTCAGGGGTCACATGGGCTTGGGAGGAGCCCCTGGTGCCTTTCTTTTACAAGTTCTGCCTATGTGAAGATAAGTCAAAGTTCCTGTTCGACCATGGTTGGCTTCGCTTGGTGGGGTCTCCTCGGCCTCCTTGATCAAGAGGACAGGTGACCTACTATCATTATAGAACATTTTGAGAGACGCTCATAGTCCCCTGGAACTAGTCGACCTAGGAGGGCAAGGAGCAAAAAGTGTCCTTTATGTCCCTCTGACCAAATTATTACAGACCTCAAAGTATGTCTGTTAAACACCCAAGAATGTTAGTTCAACCAGTCTGGTATTTGTAATTATTGTGTGTCATGTAGATAGCTCTTGGGCAAAGACCAGTTGTTCTCAAATAAACCTTACCTAGACATATATTTCTTGATCTGCTATGTATAATTTGTCAGTAGGTTGTAGAAGTAATATGGTTCCCTCTGGTTTTCAAAACTAGCTAGGCATTGTTTATCTCTCACACTGTCTCACCCCTCCATCATGGTTATCCCACTTAAGGTGCCCCCATTTCCACCCTTTCTCCCTTACTAATACCCTTCTCCTACAGTTTAGGTTCAAATTATACACATTTGACTGGGAAGAGTGCCGGGATAATCTGGTGAGCATCCAATGACCACGCTTGGCCCTCCTTTAACGAATGAGCACAGCCATCAACAAGCCCAATTGTGAAAATGTTTAGTGATAAGGCTGAGCTGAAGTCGTGATGATAGCATTTATTTCATGCAGAAGGGATTGCTGTATAGCATCATCTTATTAAAAAGATCTGGAATTTAAAAGTATTTGGTGCTAGGATCCACATATGATGGAGAACATACATCATTTGTTTTTCTGAGTCTGTATTACTTCACTTAGTGTAAAAGTTTCTAGTTCCATCCATTTACCTGCAAATTTAATGATTTCATCTTCTTTTGTGCTGAGTAAAACCCCATTGTAAATATGAACCTTAAATGAACCACATTTTCATTATCCACTCATCAATTAAGGGACACTTAGGTTGCTTCCATCTCTTAGCTATTGTGAAAAGAGCAGCAACAAACATGGATGTACAAGTGTCTCTGCAATGGGATGAGTTCTTTGGGTATATGCCAAGGAGTGGCATAACTGGATCAAATGGTAGGTTCATTTGTAGTTTTTTAAGAGTTCTCCGCACTGCTTTCCATAGTGGTTGAACCAGTTTGCAGCCCCACCAGCTGTGGATGAGTGTTCCCCTTTCCCCATATCCTCTCCGAAGTTTGCTATCATTTGATCTCTTGATATTAGCCAGTCTGACCAGGGTAAGATGAAATCTTAAAGTGATTTTAATTTACATTTCCCTAATTATTAGTGATGTTGAACATCTTTTAAGATGTTTAATAGCCATCTTTACTTCTTCTTTTGAGAATTCTCTGTTCAGCTCCTTAGTCCATCTTTTAATTGGGTTGCTTCATGTCTTGGTTCTGTTTTTTGAGTTCGTTATAAATTCTCGTTATTAAACCTCTGTTGGATGTGTCACTGGTGAAGATTTTCTCCCATTCTGTGGGTTTTCTGTTTGCTTCCTTGGTTGTCTCCTTTGATGTATTTGGGAGCTACTATTATTATGGGCACAGCCATTGCTGCATTAGGATGTGGCAGCTTGCCTTAACTTTAGCATTGGAGAAAGAACGCTTCCATCCTGGGAGTTTCTCTGCTCTTTGCTTCTGTGGTCTGAGTTGACAGGCTATGCTTCCCTGATTAAGTAGCAGTCTTGGAAACATAACGGAAGAGTTCTGTTTCAGTTTATGGGCACCGGAGTTTCTCAGCACCCTTAGCTTGGTTTCTATACAGAAATAATGAATGATAGTAGTTGCTAAGAGTAATCACAAACAGTACACCTTATATCTAAGATATTATAAATATTATGTAGCTGAATCTTGGATGCTGTAAACGTTATGTGAGTTTCGATTGGTGAAGTAACTTATTCTTGGTGGTAACACAATGAATCCTTGGTTATTCCTTGGTTACTTTCTGTTTAGTGATGTATCCTTAGTTATTCCTTGGTTACTCGAGATCTGATTCCTATATAAGCTTGCTTTAGTTCACAATAAACATGCATTGGCACATAGACCTCTGTATTCCCTGCATCCTGATTTCTATCCATCAGGGTCCCCAAGCTCTTCAGGCTTGAACTGTGGTCACTGCACCGTGACAGATGTACAGAAGCTTTTTAGTTTACTGAGGTCCCATTTGTGAATTCTTGCCCTTGCTTCCTGAGGAATTGATATCCGGATTAGAAAATCCTTTCCTACGCCTATACCTTGTAGGGTTTTCCCAAAGTTTTCTTCTAATAGTTTCAGAGTTTCAGGTTTTACATTGAGATCTTTGAGCCATTTGCAATTGACTTTTGTGCACACTGAAAGAGAGGGGTTTAGTTTCATTCTTCTACAAGTGGAGATCCAGTTTTGCCAACAACATTTGCTGAACATGCTGTCTTTCCTCCAGTTCATGTTCTTGGCCCCTTTGTCAAATATCAGGTGGCTGAAATTGCATTTGGTCATATCTGGGTCTTCAATTTTGTTCCATCATCTATGGGTCTATTTTTTGTGCCAGTACCATGTTGTTTTTATGACTATAGCTCTGTAATAAAGCTTAAAATCTGGTATAGTAATCCCCCCAGCATTGTTCTTAGTGCTCAGGGTTGTTTTGGGTATCCAAGGTCTTTTGTACTTCCATATGAATCTTAGGATGGCTTTTTCCAATTCCATGAAAAATGTCATGGGGATTTTGATTGGCACTATGTAGAATCTATATATGACTTTTGGTAGGACGGTCATTTTCACAATATTAATTCTTCTAATTCATGAGCATGGGAGGTCCTTCCATCTTCTGATGTCTTCTTGAAATTTTTTTCTTTAAAGATTTAAAATTTTCATTGTAGAGCTCTTTAACATCTTTGGTAGGTTTACTCCGAGATTTTTTTTTTTTTTTTGCAGCTATTGTGAAGGATGCTCTTTCTCTGCTTGCTTGTTACTGGTACATAGAAAGGCTATACTTTTGTAGGTTAATTTTGTAACCTGCCACTTTAATGAACGTGTTAATAATATCTAGGACTTTTGGGGTAGAATTTTTT